TTGTAGTTTTGTGAAAAACACCAATTTTGATACGGCCGAAATATCACCTCATCCTAGAGCAAAAACATTTTGTCGAAAAACGTAATTTTAAATTGACGTGTTTCCATTGAGCAAATTTATTTTTGAAATTCTAATTTGTGCATTTTCATGGTGAATGGAAACGCAGCTAGTGAAATCATAACTATAAGTGAATAAAATCCTCCGTTGTAATGCTCACGTACTTTAACGGTGTTGTGCATCTTGGAGGTCATGAGTTTGCGCGCCGCCACAATTACATCTCTGCACTTCTTGCTGGCGAAGTGACAGTTGACATCTCTGGCGTATTTGAGCAGGTCTGTGGAGTCACGCTGCAGATACTCCATGTGCTTCAGGGCCTTCTCAAACTCCTCCGTTTCTTTWATCACCTTCATCAAACAAAGAAAACTCTGATCAAACCCACCTTTGATCGACAGAGAATTGTGTGTTTTTTATCCGTACGGTTATGTACTGTTCCAGCTGGCTGCTGTTGGTTGGGATGGAGTACACAAGGCACTCGTGGATGATACACTGMGACATTTCCTCCCAAATCAACTCCCCCAGGATGTTCGAGAGCTTTTTGTCTCCAATGGACACATCTGAAATAACAGAAATCTGATTCCAGCCTTCWTCTATTTTGACCAAAACAAAGAGAAACCATGTGTTCAGATGTGAAGCGGTTACCCAGCAGGTGTGAGTGCAGGGTCTTCAGCACCAGCAGTAGTTTCCTGTACACTTGTGATGGAGTGGACTGCTCCTCGTGGCTCTCACAACTCTGCAAGGCCAGGATGGTTCCAGTGCCCTGCTGCTCTGATATCCTCACCGACAGAGAGGAGTACATGACCAAAGGCTTTAACATGTTCTTCATCAGCACCTGACCTGAACAAGATGCCAACACACAGGAAGTTCTCAGCTAGGATTACAATCTGACAGTGTCACCTGACTTCATCTGTATTATCAGAATAAATATCTTGTAAAGCAAGAATGCCAAATGTATTCAAGGAAATACTAAATACTAAACAAAATAAGTTTCATTTTGGTCAACATTACTGAAGAGTTTGATCTTATGATGAAGATCTCCTTGGATGGCGAGAGCTTGCAGGACGGAGCACAACAGAGCTGAAGGTTTTGATTCATCGTCTTTACTGGGAGCATCACTCAGGACCAGTTCATCTTTCAGGAAGGACTTCTGGTTTACAGGATCTGAGGAAAAAAAGGTTAGAAACAATTCTAAACACACAAACCAACTTTTTAAAAATGGTAACATAATCCAAAATCCATTTTTTTTGAAAATAAACTCTAAATTGTGTCTTAATCTTTATATTTTCGTCTGTCCTCCTGCTGCCCTCTATGGCCTGCAACCTTTATAATCAAAAGAGACATGTCTGCTCCTCGGCTCACTAATAAAATGTGTCCAGAACCGCAAAATAAGCTACAACTGTGATTATCAACTGCTGGTCCGTGGGCCTTTTCAAGGTCTTTTCGTGAACCTTTACGGCCAGTGGAGGTGACATTATAAAACTAAGAAATATATTGTGAATTTTATTATTAATTATTATTTTTACACTAATGACTGAAGAAAAAACATACATAAATAAGAAAAATACTGACTATAGTTTATTAAAAAATACATAAAAACTAGTTCAGCTGAACTATTTTTTTTATTTTTATTTTTATGAAGAACTAAAGATGTTTAAAGATAACCCTGATGGATTTGAGAGAAAGATTATAGAAAGAAGTTGGATTATTTAGGTAGAAAACAGGCTAGCATGAGCTAACATGTTTTA